TTTGTGATTTATTTGTCTCTCTTTCAATTGGCCGCATCAAAAGACCAATAGGACAGAAGTGAAGATGCAATCCACCAATTATAATGAGGGTACCCCGTAGTCCATATTCATTAAATAGATATGTCACTAATTGTGGTAAAACCAACCCGCCAATTCCTGCTCCGAAATTTGCAACAGCATATGCCATTCCTCTCCGTTTCTCAAAATATTTTCCAAGTATCAGCATAGCAGAAAGATGAGCAGATTCTGATGTAAGTGCTGAAAGAATTATGAAATATGGTTACAAACAACATAAAGGTTTGGCAAATGACCATCTATTGAAATGATGATGCTAGAAATTACATCAGGTTGGATATATTAAAAGGGTATTTAACTTTTTATATTATTTCGAAATCAAAAACATAAGACTATAAAATAAAGATTTTAACATTAAATGTACACTTAATAATGGGCATAAAAACTATCTGAATAATTCACATATAAATCTAAAGTATATTATTGCTGAACACAGGATAGCTATTATATCTTCTCGTGTTACTCCTCTTCAGCCATGTTTGCTATTGAATCGGAATCAAGGGAATGTATATATATATATATATATATATATATATATATATATATATATATATATATATATATATATATATATATATATATATATATATATATATATATATATATATATATATATATATATATATATATATATATATATATATATATATATATATATATATATATATAAAGCACTAAAAAACCAACAACACTGTATATCCTAAATGTCGGATCTACCAAGTAGATACAAGGTCACGGATGGAAATTTATATAAAGCACTAAAAATGACCAACGACACGAAGAATAAAAATTGTCAAATTTTCGGGACGCCCTGTCCCTTCCTCAGGACAAAGAAAAAAGTTAAAAAGTCATAAGAACAAAGGAAAAAGAGAAACAAAAACAACTAGCACTACTACTAAACTACTAAACACTAGATATTTACATACTTAATTACATGATGAATTGGACATTTTTAAGAACACTAATAAAGAAATCCGGACCGGTATGAAATGCGTCCGCTATGGGGTATACTCAAGTATATATATATATATATATATATATATATATATATATATATATATATATATATATATATATATATATATATTTGTTTTTTATAAGGAACTATTTTTAAAGCTTTTCCTTAAATAAATATCTTGAACTATTAATAATACCGGTGCGTGCCCAATACCATAGCTAGCTCCGGGGCACATGATTTGAAAAGAATAAATACACCAAGTTAGAATGCTTGCACAAGAATGCGTATTGCCCTCTTGCTATAAGATATTAAAAGATTTTTTCAAAATTATGTACATATATCTTAATTATGTAAACATATGTTCCCCCTTTCCTTTGTGGCCCTTACACAGCCCCACCGTCCAAACGATCTGATTGAACATATTGAAATTTAAAAAAAAAATTAAAATCTTTACATAATAATACATGTATTTAGCCTAGATATGTGGTTCTGTAGTTTTCAAATGGAAACCTGTTGTTAGATATTTATTTTCAATACCTAATAAAAACTTATTTGCCAATATTTACAACAAACTGTATCCTCATAACTTAGGAAGGTAGGCAAAGAAATCATTAATTGCAGTCTGTTCTTTAAAGATCAAAGATAATTTCCTTGTATATTGCTGAGTCTTAAAATTTGACGGCCCAATAGATGTCCCTTTTCGCCCCAAAATCATTAGTTGAATTGAAATAACTTATGGACGCTAAAATAAATAAAAATAGAATTTTAAAAAACTTAGACGCTTTCATACCAGTAACTATTTATGATACAGTTTAGTAGGATTAATTCTTATAAAACATTACAAAGACATAGCTAAGATAACCTTTTACTTTTTTGTGGCATTCTAATTAATTTTCGCTGACATGAAATCAACAACAACAAAAAAACCCGAACATGTTAGTTATATCAATTTAAACCTGATACTCAAACGAGTTACATTATGTTTCCATACCATATAGGGTGCTTTGAGTGAAGAAGAGAAGGGATGGTTGTGGTGCGAAGGCATTGCCTAAATTGGAGCCAAGTCCAAGGATTGCCGCCAAAATTACCATTAATCTCTCTCCTAAGTACGTTGTTCCAATACCCATTATAAAAATGGCTGAAAAGTCAGAAGAGATATAAATGAGTTAATTTTAGATTTGCATTTTCAAGAAAAGATAATTCCTTTCACCACAAGATCAGTGTTTTTATTTGTACTTAAAGTGACTTTGAAGAACAGTACATTGTTTTTTTTTCTGGAAGTGTCATATGCTTTTATCCACAAGATATCCATAGAGCATTTAAATGTGTTCACATACATTTACATGAATGATAATTGAAGTCTAATCTCGAACATTGCATTTATGATAATTATATGTATACGCTGTCAATTTATGGGAATGTCGGAAATATGGAAATCCGTTTCAACATGTCATATTTAAAGTTCAAACAAACCGCTATAAATGGATTTTTTGGTTTAACGTTTTTGCATTTAATCATAAAGCTTAAAGGATACCTCTCTAAGTGTGTTGCTTAAAAAACGTATTGACAGTTGTTGAATTTCAATTTTATTTCATGTCGGTTTCAGTTATTTAAACTCATTTAAGGAAAAAATGCTAAACTGTGTACAAATATTCTGGACAGATACATGTAAGCAGATACTTACAGCTGACACTGGCTATTATTGTTTGTACAGACAAGACCAAGGATAGGACGGAGGCTGTAGTCGAATATTTTCTCTGGTATTGCACAAAGAATAATCCAAAAGTTTTGAACATACCAATGGTTAAAAAATATTCCAAGAAACATGCTATAAGTATAAAAGAAATAAAGAGGACATTAAATGAAACGTACATGTATGGAGATAACGAACGGTATTTAAGATCAAAAGTCCACAAAACAATACAAAACAGGAGCAGTGCAAACACGGACCTCCAAAACATCAGAGGCAGGGTCAGGTCAATGGAAGAGTGAGCATCCCCTGCAAACTGGTCACACCCGCCGTGTGTTCCCTGTCATGATCGGGAAATAACGGAAAAATCCGTCGTCAATTCAGTGTAAAAGTAATGGACTAACAATTAGTTTTTCAGCATGAAAAACGTCCAGTAAATTGTATTTGCTAACAAAGTCATTGTATCGACCTCAGATTTTACAAAATGCTGACTTTAAACGAGACTGTTGACATTCTTGTTTCATACTTACAGCATGCTCTTGCGTATCGAATCAACTGAAATATATAAGCTCCGTATGCAGGTGAATAAGGTATATTGCTGCATAAGTAATAGAGGTTGTTTGCCAGAGTATCACTAACGTTTTTCTCAAGTAAAATATCCACATTTGAAACAGATGTGTCAGACTCTGTGGTATCTTTTATCTCAAGCTCACCAGGATATTTCGTATCGACATAAGAATGGAAATTACCATACGTTGCCTAAATATCTAAATGTTGAGTTGAAGGCCACAGCAAAAGTTTTCTTCTTTTTAAGTAAAAGATTTTGGACAAATTCTGCTCTATATGAATACAAAAGTAGGTATGTTAATAACGAGGCGCAATCGGTACCCATAGGAATTTCAATATATTGTTGGAAGACCTTTTCCCAAAAAACATAGATATTGTCAATGAGAAACTCAAGAATCTTTTTTCATGCCAACTTCAGAGTAATTGTGTGTACTGTCGGAATGTTTTAGCTTCCTTACTTCCTTGCGTCCCTTATGCAGCAACTCAAGAAAAATTTTCATGTCAACTTCAGAGTACTTGTGTGTACAATCAGAATGTTTTAACAAAATAATTTTGCAAATGACCAATGACAAGGTGAGTAAATTTACGAGTTCCATTTTTATTGAAAAAGAAGCTGTCAATGATATCAAAAAGCCGTGACTTAATTTATCGCGGGTGATGGTTGTGTATAAAGAAAAGTAGTAAATTTTTTAGCTGTCGATTTTGGTAAAATCTTGTGAATTCAAACTGTCCAAAAGATTCTTGGAATTTTTAAGTATCCATATCTCATTAACACAATTTCTTGAATACATTGTTGCACAGTACTCTTTTAGTTTCTCCTTTACTCCAAACTTAGTAAGGAGCAAAGAAAGAGGCTTGATTGAACATTTGCTTGAACCCGTTATGTATCCTTGTTTCATTATATACATGTATATTAAAACCATCTACTCTATAATAATACTTACCTAATAATATAAACCATGCCCAGCCTTTGTCAACTGACAATGGGGTACTTTTCCGAAAGTTGAACATTTTTCATCAGTGATATTCTAGTGTAAATAAAATAATGATTTTTTTGTAAAAATATACCTAATTGTGGTCAGTATAATTTTTATACAGTCTCTGTATCAAATCTCTACAAAAAGAGTTTTGAGTTCTTACGTACTTCCTTTAAGGAAATATCAATGAATGTGGTATAAAATGGAATAAAATCCGTTTAAATCATTTGAAAATGTCTAAACCTTTTGATGAATAGTAAAGCAGCTAAATTGTATACCAGAAAAAAAGAGATAAATGTTATATCAATTTACAAAGGGACTTCTCTCTCTTCCAATTCTTATTTTACATGTACATTTTCTTTTAAATAACACACAGTTATATAACCACATTTTTTGGCCAATAATTAGAACAAAATCAATATACCGAAATAAATGTTAATACATGACTGTATTTTCCATTTCTGTGAAACTGAGGTCATGGAAGCATACCGGTTCTGCACAATACTACGACAAACGAAATTTTGCGTTTGAAAATTCTTTTTAAAAGAAAGTACTGATTGGAAGTAAGCACATATAATCTTGTATAATCTTGTGAAACAGATCCTAAGCAATGCATGGTGCATTTATTCAATGAATCTCTCTTGTCTAGAAGTATTTTAACGTAGTATTTATTCATTGTTTTAACTTCCAATGAATAAAACAAATATGCCTTACCTGGTACTAGAAGGTCAAACGTTTGGTAAAGTACCAATTGTATAACTGTACATGTGTACCACATACCTTTGTTTCTCTGCAATAGGTAAACCGTTGATTCGTAAGGTAAGGGAGATAAAAGGAATATTATTAGAGGCCGCCAAAATGAGTCAAGCAGCAAATAGATTTGTAAATAGCCTGATTTTGGATGTTTTTCATATACACATGAATTTTTAAACAACCAAAAATTAATGAAATTTTTATTACATGATAATTTTTTAGATTATCTGAACCGAAGACTCCAGCGAGTTTTTCGAAACAAATTTGTCTGTTGTCTGTCGCTGGAGTTTGCGTCGTCTTTATTAATTTTTTACAACTATTTTTTTTACTCTAATCTAGAACCACTGGACCAATTTTAATTAAACTTGGCAGAGAATACCTCGCATTAAGTTGATTAAAATTTGTAAAGTGAAGAGCCGCATTTTCTTAGAAATGGTGTTACTTTAGAATTAATAGAATTTAAATTGGTACTTTAGAAGCTTCTTTTAAAAGACTTACTGGGACAGAAAAGGTGAGACTTACAAGAAAGCATCCTGATATAGTGTAGGTTTAACATCCTTCAAATCAAAATCCAAAGTGCTTGATTAGGACCATTGTGTGTGATCAAAGAATAAGATGGTTTTTATTTAATAAGAAAAACTAAAGATTAAATGTCTTCTTCTTAGAAACAGAGAGGACGAGGCCAATCATACTTGTATGCATAAGCATCCACATCTATATACATGTACAGGTTTGTTTAAATCTTGATCCTCTTGGATGGATAGAAGTCACTATTCTAACAGGAGATCAAGATTTACGTTGGATTTTTTTTAATCGTTTCCCCAAGAGCAGAAAGCTCATGCTAAGTCATATTGTTCTATAAAACCATCTTCGGGCTGTATAGATATAATTTTGTTTAAATTATATGATAATAGCATCTATTTGAAATATAAAATAGATGCATTTATTTTATGAGAAAAGAAATCGGGTTTGATGTATAATATGCAGACTTCAAAATTAACATCGGGTTTGGGCTTCCTTCCGGGGTTGCTGAACAGGAAAGAGGTCATAGATTAATCAAGAGTTTAGATTGGTAAAAATACGCGGTATTGGCTTTTAAGAAATGTTAATTGTTGAAGATAATGCAATCTTATATACATACGATACAATTTTTATATCAAAGAAAAATATTTTGGTGTTATAACGAAGGATGTTTTTGGATTGTCGTCTGCTGTGCAAACACATGGTATTGTGCGGAAATAGCTGGCTCATGGATTGTATAAAAAATTCTGTAGTCCATAGATATGTATGACGGTGAAACCATTGGGCAAGCGCAGTTATTCAACATTTCTTGCTCGGTACTTTTTATAACTTGTGTAGATCTGCTTTTGACGATATCATTTAAGTCCAATAGTTTGCGTTTATTGCCTATGCTAGGTAAGTACAGTATATGCAAATACATTTTAAATAAATAAATAAAATAAAAATAGCGTTACTCCCAGAAGTACCAGAGCCAATAAGTGAATAAATTTTGACGTCACATACAAAGCTATGTTTACTACAGTAGTTTGGTGTGATATTAAAATTGTAAAATTGTTGTTTTTTTTTTTTGTTTTGTTTTTTTTAAGTAAGTTATTGCTGTTATGCCTAAGACACCATTATGCTATGCATCCCAAAGGATGCTAAGAATTTTCACATTATGACATGATTAATAAAAAGTTCTTTGAACAGTTTAGATTTTTCACATGGCTGACAAAAATTCCTTTGAACAATATGCAGATTTAAATTCGAATTTCCTCCATTTGTGCACGTCTATAAGCTTGCTGTGCTCTCCATGAAGAATATTAAAAGAAAGTTATGATAAATTTTTATGATAAGTTATGAACAGGTATAAATTCCTGATATATCTAGCTCGTCAGAGTTATTTGAAAGTCACTAATGCAGTATTAATAGGTAACAAAAATCATTTATTTGTTAACTTGTCAAGTTTATATATTGCATAAGGAATGCCCGAAAAAGAGGTGGAAGGCAACATCAAGGTTGGTACTGCTACTAAAGAGAGCAATCTTAGGTCCATAAATCCTTCTCGACCTGGTCCAGTCAGATGACAGCTAGTAAGGATGCTTCAACCAATTATCAAACATTGATGTTCATGTAAGCCCCATT